CAAGTAGAGTTTAAAATCATTTCAAGAGCTTCGCTAACTTTTTTCATCATTAACCGGCGAGGATATTGAGGCGTTGTTAGTAAGCAGCATCGTATTGGAGCTTGTTCAAAATGTGCAACGCACATTCGTGGAGTAAAAGGAACAAAATAAAATAAAGGAGGGGAATGAAAAAAATAAAGGATAAAAAACAGAGGAGATGAAAGAGAACCCCAGAATCTGAATCTGATTTGGATCCCAGTTTTCAGATAGGCTCCGAACCCAAACCCAGATTACGCGGAGAAAAAAAACTTGGCTAGGTATAAGTATAATAGGTATATTAATAAGCCCGGTAGCCCGTTTTTTTTTATAAGTCCATGGTTGTGCGAACCAACCTCTTTACTTGGGTTCTACAGTCCAAAAATTCAGTTCGACGAATCGATATTTTTTTTTAAAACTTTGACCTAAATGACTCAAATCGTATTTTTGCACCCCAAATAAGACTTTTGATTTTATGAAGTCTTACTTGACGTCCGGCGTGCTTAACGGAAAAAAAAGAGAAAAAAATATGATAAAATCAACTGTGTTCCTCGCAAATTTTGGCGCCAACCAAAAGGTGTGGTCGCGTTAGCCCTGCATGTTTGATTCTACGATCTACTGGCTAATGCAACTGCTTTCCGGGCTGTCGTCAAAATCAGTCAGAGGTACAGTTAAAATGATCTTAATTTGTTTCACATGATACTTTTGATAAAATCACAGAAAGAAGCAGCAACTCCAAAAAATCGATTTTTTGCATGTTCGGTTTATTTGAATGTAGATCTCGGGAATAACCTCATGGTTGGAGTTGAGAGGAATCGGAGAGAAAATTCTAAAGGTCTGATAAATTGCGAAACCGCTTAAAAAATTCGGAACTATACTATACCGCTGAAAAATCTTTATCAGTGCCAAAGTCGGATAAACAGTATTTTCAATCCTTTATTTGTTTGCAAAGCTCTTTTTGTAAATACGGTGGCAAAGAGGATCCTACAAAGTTCCGGGGACCTCTTCTTTCTCCACGAAAGCTCCGTCTTTACGGGCATAATTACATGAGAATAGTCCTATTTCACGGCCCGTTTGGCGGAGCTGATGATCTAGCCCCGGCGAAATTCTCGAGGAAGTCGGGAAAGATAAGAGGAGTCGAAAAAGTCTACCTTAAGATAAGCGCCGCTGGCGGCGGCGAACAAGTTTTAATTGAAAAAGTCGGAAACAATTTGAAATGTTGACGTCCCATCCGAAACTTCCGGCCAGGCTGACAAAGGCGTGAAGGGGTTAAACAGGTCCGGCAGTTATTATGCGGTGAAGTTCATGAGCCCGACAGCAGAGTGCGCCCAAGCCCTGCACTTCTTTCGGTCTGTTGGAAAATCAACAGTTTGGACACTCAGACGTTCCGAGAAGAAAAGTTCGGCCTCAACAATTCAATAAAGGGTCGCTGTGGTGAGGGGGTGGGATTCCGTTGTCTAATCTAGAAAAAAAAAGCAATTTTTCAAGTTTTTTACGATTAGTTTATTACGCAATGGTATTATAACCGAGGATTGCCCCTAGAAGTGGATAGGTAGTAGCGGGTATACAATAGTATACATACTGTAAGTGGAGTGCCCTGGTAGAGAGAGTATGCACATCTCGCTCCTCCACTTGCCATGGATGGCAACAAAACAAAATGCCGGCGCTTTGTTTTAGTTTTTGAGGATGGGAGGAGGGACATTGCCAATTTGACGGTGATCACTAACCGTACTTGCTGCCAACCTTCCTATATCTCAAATGATTTTTCGCGGAGATACTACACGATTAGGCTATCCGAAAAATTATGTAAATACTGAGGAATGTTGCATTTGAGTTGCAATATGCAAATAAAACTACATTTTAAGTTATTTTGTATTTACATTCACTGACAGCAGCGTCCGCCATTTTTGGGTTTAAAGAGCTCAATGAAGCTCAAGCTGGAGGAGCTGATCAAAACTCACAGCCACATGGCGATACTCTCTCTATCAAGCAACTCTACTCGTAATAATTGTAAGGGTTTAGACTATTTGGATTATTTGAAATATTTAAACTTGCCACTAATTCCTTCGCGCTTTTAAAGCTTGACCTCAATAGGATCTGAGTGTTTCCTTGGAAATTTTAAAACTACCTAGTGCGACACGCACACCCTCTCACAAAAAAACAGAAAAAAAGAAAAAAAATGATGAAACCAGGGTGTTAAATTTTTATAAAATGTGCATTTTCAAACATTCGTTAAGAATCTAAAGTTTTCCGCAGTTCCAAGACTCAAAAGCTTTGCTACGACTTATTGAGAACATTCTTCGTTAATGGGTTGCACTTCCTCTAAAAACCTGGAAACTTTCTCGGCAAATTCTTGAAGTCCGGCGAAATAGAAATGAATGGTTCAAGGGCCGTCGCAAGGGTAAATTACCGCCAACATAAACAGCTAATTTGGCGCATCTAAGTATCTTTTCATGTTACCGGTGAGAATAAATCGACTATTATCACTTTTTCGTGGAACGACACCAGCTTCTACTGAAACAGAACTTCAACACAGTAATATTTCAGCCGTTTCTTCATAATAAATTATGTGAAACGTAAATTTAAGACGAATAGGCAATCTCGGAATAGAAGTAAACAGTTTACGACTGGTGAGCATCTCAAGACGTTTTCTGGGTAAGAAAGACTTGATGTTTTTGGGATTGCTCACAACACGCTCGTCATTCAAATGAGTACAATGGTTCCGAGAACTCGTCTCTCCTTGATGTTAACAGCTGTGTTTGTTCGCTCTTTAAGAGGGATTCGCTCCTCGGTGCAAGAAACCTTATGCATTTCATCGTCCACCCGCGAAGAAAATATTTATCGTTTTCCTTTATAATTACTTTAATTCACCCTTTTTGTTAACAGAAACCATTAAGTTAGTTCCTTTGATAAGCCTGGAAAAAAGCTGCAAAAATAATTTTTATCGGAAAACTTTTTTTTTTACTTAAAGACTTTTTTATACTTAAGACTTTGCGCAGCTCTCCTCCCTCCCCTCGTAAGATCCCGTAAGGGAAGCTCAGACCCCCTCCCCCATAAGTAACTTACGTAATGTTAGGCTACGGTCATGGCAACAGAACTTTTGTCCGATGCATCTCTAGAGATGATTATTTTTTTAAAGTTATACTAAGTAACCAGTTTTCATGGTAATTCTTATTCTGCACGGGGTACACGGACTTTATGTCCACTTTTTTTACGTCCACAGACTTTTTGTCCGCAATTTTTACGTCCACAGTTCTAAAGCCCACACTATTGTTAAGTCCTTTACTTAAACGTCCACTAACTTAAGTCCACAAATGTAAAGTCCACTAAAATCAAATTCAAGCGTCATATTTTAGTCCGTGTGTAAAATTATATTGACAATATCGAAATGAGAAAATTAAGAGAGAATGAGGAGTTGTTATCGTAACTCATATTTTAAATGAAATGTTAATTTCTTCTATTGATTCATCTTTTCAAATTGTCTTTGGTAAATACTAAGTTCCATTTCTATCCTTGAAATTTCCGATATAAAATATGCCTTAAATGTACACTTTTATTTTAATGAAATTGATTTCTTCATTTTAAAAACATTTACATTTTTAAAACGTGGTAAATATTTGTGAAACTTTTTCCAAGCAATGGCATCGATATGAATCTCAAGGAGCCGTAGTTGTGATGAAAGAAATTATACAAAAATTTATAAAAGAGGAAAAAAACTAAGAATCACGCAATTTTTTGGTTTTAACTTATTTGTACATCGACCTTCTTGAGTCAAATACGTCCAATTTTGAGCGTTTAGTTGCGCTTACACCACGCTGCAGCACAGCAAAAGCCCAAAACATAAAATAATAAATTTGAATGCTTTGGAAATCATTAAATTTGACACGGAACCACTATTATATCTACAAAAAACACATTATATTTTTCAGTAGTATATATTTCTTTTTCATCAGTTTAAAAGGGAATAATCAATGCGGAGAGTGCAAACATTTCAAAATCATGAGTTGAAAAACGCTGACTCCGCGAGTTTAAATATTAGAGCCTAACACAGAGCGGAGCGGCGTGTTAGCAGCGCAGAACGCGCACTGGCGCCTACAAACCTAACGGGATACTTCACGCATTGCGCAACTCGTGAAGTATCCCGTTAGGTCTGTAGGCGCCTATGCGCGTGTCACGCTGGTTGCCTGCCGCGCCGCAACGCTTTAAGCAACTATTTCGCGTCAGAGGCGTTGCACAGTATCCTACAAGATTGAAGGCGCACGGAATACTAGTTAAACGAAACTACTTAAAGAGGACTTTCAATTTTGACTGCACCTGTTACTGAAAAATGTTTAATTTGGCATTGGAGCGTTTTCTAGGCTCCCGCTTTGGTGTTCATCTTATCATATCCGTACAGTACACATGAACATATCGACGGTGAAAGTCGGCAATCACATAACTCGGTTTGCGACGTCGCAGACTTCCTGTCATACTTTATTTTTTAAATGGAAAACTACTCAACGGCAATTCTTTAAAACTGTTATGATTTTTCATCTCAATGCAAAGAAAATTCTGCAAAAACTTCAAGAAATAATATCAATTTGTTCTCCTTTAAAAAAATGACGTAGAGGCGGAGATTTTCAGACACCGCAAACGAGTTATGTGATTGCCGACTTTCACCGTCGATATGTTTTTATCTGCTCTTAGAGTCTGTTCTCTTTCATGACTTGATTCATGAATGAAATGTTTTTAAGAATAAAGGTAGTAGTAGTATGCATTTATTTTTGAGGTGGTTCCTGTCATTTAAATGAGAAGAAAAAAATGTGGACATATCATGTCCACAATTTGGACAATTTTGGACATTTTCACAATTTTTGGACAATTTCATTGTTGGACATTAAATCATGTGGACTTAATAAAGACTGGACTTAACGTTTAGTGGACATGGTAGTCGGACATAAAGTCCTGGAAGCCTGTACGGTCATTATTTTATTTTCTTGTTGCAGCGACACCAACAACGTTTGAAAAACTCTCCTTGCAGCCAACGGACAGCAGCAGTCTTGAGAATAGCGTCTTCAGCAACTCGGCCGAAAAGGAGGCATGCAAGGACATCCACTGCGATTTTGACGCAACCTGTGAACTGGGTCCCGATGGCTATCCTAGGTACGTTCTTGATCATTCCGTTTTCAAATAGCTGATCCAGATGTCGCAACGTTTTAACATAGGAGGGTATCGAGCGGGTAACGTAACGATTTTGAAAGACCTCTCCGGTCTTAAGGGTTTTTGTTGGTCATCTCCGGCGGTTTTGATGAATAGAGAAATTGCAGGTGTCTGAAATTTGATGAATTTTGTGTTTAAGTGGAAACTGTTGAGTTAACTAAACACGAGGATACCCTTGGTTCATGAATTGAACAATTATTGGAGAAGATATGAAAAACGTAGCTAATCTGCTAAAATACCTGTGTTTAAATGGGAAATGCCGCCAGATGACGTCACTAGGCGGTGAATTTTCTCACTTTTAAATCTGTATTTATACTATTTCCCATATCAGAAAAAATAATTATAAAAAATGCTGTGAAATCAGCTCTTTAAGTACTTCCAGGTAAGGCAATAAAAAATGTGTATGCAAATTCTCCATCGGTCTTTAACCCAGAACCCCCTTTGTTACGTAATCCTCCTTGCTGGAACCATCATAGGCAGTGCTCCCATTTTCCAGAACGAGTAACGAGTTCTGGATCTTTTAAAATTTTTCTGAATTTTTGCCGGAACTTTTGAAGTTCCCAAAATGTTCCGGATCTTTTCCATTTCCCGGAACTTTCTCGGAACTTCTAAACAAATCCAAAAGGAATCCCGGAACTCTTGACGGTCATGGAGTGAGAGAAGTTGGAACAAACTAGTTCCGAATCAACGAAACTTTAGACGGACATGGAATGGAAGCACTCTGATCATGGGAGCGGACAAATCCTACATTTCTGCATTACTAATAATTAGAGTCCCTTTATACCCAGAGTTACGACAACTCGATTATCAGCTGACTGGCAGCCGGCCTTGGCTGGCCATGGAAGCCGAAACGAGTGCACCCAAACGAACGATATTGAGGGATAAGGATCAGGAATCCTGCGATGTCTGTCACACAAAAACAACAACATCAACAAAGTGATCAATTAAAAAGAAAATGAGATTGGTTTGTGAATAATTTCTTAATCTATGTTCATTTTGGACCTATGGAAATAACAATTTACTCTTGATAAACCACAATTAGGTAATATTTTCATTATTCTTGTTCACATTCGAGGTACCGCCATCTTGGTGCACTCGTTTCGGCCTCCATGAGCGAGAACCAATCAGAATTGGATTGTTTTTTAGGCCACTTTCAGCCCAATCCTGGCCCAACCAAAAGTGAGTTGTCGTAACTCTGGGTATAAAGGAACTCTACTTATAATCACACCCGGGCGTAAATCTATCGTTACGTAATTTCGGGATTTACTTAATTGACTATTACTATTTTAGTTTTCCGATTTTTGAATGAATGTATGTTAATCTTGTCCAGATGCTCGTGCCTGTTCGATTGCTCCCGGGAGGCAACGAAGCTGGTGTGCGGCTCCGATCTGAAGGTCTATCAATCGAGCTGCGCCATGAAGATGGAAGCCTGCCAGCAGCAGAAAGAGCTCCGACTCAGACCCCTGGATCTCTGCCAAGGTACGTTCCCGACCCCTTCTTTGCTCCGCCACCCCTTCGAGCATCCCTCACTCCGCAGCGACACTCCTCCCGCAGGCTTGCCGCCTCCAACACCCGCCTTTCATTCATGGATTTTGACATTTTAAATCATAAATACGGCGGTATTCCGAAAGGAAAAAATCCGCAAAAATGGGTCCGTTGCAAAGTTTGCAGCTAGAGCAAAAAGAGAAGTCATAGAAATATAATTAGTCGGTTAATTTGTTCAGAGATACATTCAGCAACTTAGGCTATTGATGTCTTTACAACGAATATGAAATATAGGTGCATATACAAAAATTCAGATTTTTAAATTGAGGGAGGCAAAAACTTTCAGTGTTTTGGTTGTGACATTGGGTTTATCGCAGGTTAGTGGGTTTGGATTCCTTTTGACCGTTGGTGAGTATATATATACATCGTAAAGAAAATGGTGCAAAAATCACGATAAGCAGCTCGCATCGGGATGGTCTAAAGTACACTCTTATTTTCACAATCTGAGCAAGAAATATGCGTCGTTTAAGCTTCCCACTTAAAGAGCAATACCACGATGCAGGTGAATATTTCGCAAGAAGAATCGTTCCATCCAAGCCTTGCGCAGTAGGATGCTACGCAATATGCAACACACATATATGGCTGATGCCTCTGCGCGGAAATCGTGAGGAAGCACATGTTTTTTATCAACTCAAGATAAATGTAAATATAAACCACGCCGATTGATAGAACCCCGTCTCCTCACGTGTATTTTGGCGGGTTGACGTCGGCCATGTTCAATATTGCGTAGGTTCCTATTGAGCAAGGGTAGGATGGAACGACTCCTCTTACGAAATATTGGCCTGTGCCGTAGCGTCGTTTTAGAAGCGGGGAGCTAAAAAAATGCTTATTTCTTACGCAGATTGTGAAGTTAGGAGTGCATTTCAAACTTTCCCGACAAGCTCATCGTAATATGTTAGCCATTTTCTACGAAAAGGAACTCTTATTTTTGCTCCAGGTAAAGTTTGCATCAGGCCCTCATGTCGGTATTCTGGAGGGGAAAAAATCGGGAAAAATTGGCCACACAGCTCTGTAACAAGAGTGGCCAAAATTTCGACCTGAGGCGAGACTTTTCCTACCTCTCAGTTTTAAATATACAACCGATTAAAGCTGCAGACGAAATTCGAGAGTTAGTCTTGAACATGGCAACAATGATCGTATCTACTCTTCGCTAATCCGACACGATGCATGGCTGCATGTTTCGATTCATTTCCTAGTTTTAAGATCAACGGCTTACGTGTGACAGATTAAACAAACGTGTGAACTTTCTCGGCCGCGCTAGAGGAGCTAAGCGCATTGGCCTCATGCGGAGAGCAGCTGCTCGAGGGTTTCCTTATTAGCCGTATTCTTTCCTTTTTTTTACGTTCCTATTTCCCTCTTCCAGGAATCGGTGATTTTTCAGCCAAGTTCGCTCGCAAAACAAATTAGGGGAAAACGCTACCTCCGAGGTTGGTTCGTGGCAGTCTTGCCAAATTTTAGACGAAAATTGCTTGAGTTTAAAGTATCTTGCTCCAAAAAATTGTTGATAAGAGTTCGATTATTCCAAGGCGCGATATCTCGGTTATTATTCAACGTAGAAATTTGCTGTTTGGACAGATCTTATTATTTTTAGCTAATCTACAAGAATCACGCACAAAACACGATTCTGTGACCAGCGCAAGTGGCCCATTCGTCCAAATTTGGAGGACTTCATGATAAACACGATTGAAAATGCAACATAGTAAACCTTTGGTACCAACGGTCGTAGCCGCAAGTCGTGCTTCAGAAATCCAGAGCGCCTGCAATTTTTCGGTATGCAACACGAACATTCCGAGATCACGAATAGTTGCATCCAGGCCTGGCCATTGAAAAAGACTGAGTGCCTCCAATTGTTTCTGTCTGAAATGACAAAATAAGCACCCATGCGTTGTCGTGGCACAAGGATGGGACGGTTTGAGTATATTTAATCAAATTGAAAAAAAAAAAGGAATTGAGTAAACTACCAATGGACATTAAATAAAATGGTGATAATCAATGCGGCAGTTACTTACAATTAGAAAAGGTAATCGGCATTTTGTGTTAATATGCAAGTAGAACACAAAGCAACTCAAACTATTAATATTTTTAGTGAGCTTTTGTATTGGCTAAATTGACCAAATGTTTTCGGGTCAAAATTTTGCAACTTCGTTAAAAATTAAGCACGAACCGGCCAGGATTGGACCTGGATCGCATTGTTAGTGATGGTCCACCGCGCTAATCTATCGCAAGTCACATCAATTCAAAAGGATACCTTAATCGTCCTCGGATGTCTCTAAGTAAACCAAGGTCTCGATTCATTTAATAAAAAATGACGATGAGCAACCTAATCGGTTCGAATGACATGATTAAAAGAAGATGAACCCATAGTAACCGTGCACACGGAAATTTCCAGCTACGTGCCCTATCTTGGGGTCAATTATTGAAAATATCCACCGAAGTCCTCCTTTTGTCCCTCAGTCGACCCTGAAAATTTAGCAAATCTACGCGGACAAATTGTTGCACCTCTGACGTAAGGGCTCATCTAGATTTTCATATGAGCCCTGATGTCTATATTAATCCAAGCTCTCCTGGGCTCACGTGGAAACGAGAACTTTTATGTCAGAGGAGCAATGAAATGTTTGTATGCCCGCCCGGCTTTGCTCTCGGAGGGAAGAGCCCCCTTTTGCGTATACTCGAGCTTAAAAGTAACCTCCTTCTCAGTGGCGTGGCGCCCTTTGCGATATATTGATTAATCTGTCATTTAAGCCTATGGTAAAGGATCGATGAACAGGGTGTTCGCAGCGAACACCTTAATAATCGATTTTTTACCATAGGTTTAAATGCCATAACAATCGATACATCACAATTCATGCCACGCCACTGCTCCCTCTTTTATGACGGAACACGGTGCAAGGAGCATGGTTTGCCGCGTCATTTGCTCGCTTAATGAGTCGGAAGGATTTGGGCTCCCCGCTCTAGTTAATAATGTTTCCTGTAGGTGGTGCTCAAGTTCGATTCTCGAAAATTTTCGGCCTTGGTCATGTTTGATTTGTAGAGCTGCCAGGAGAGTGGTAGAGACTCTGAGAGGAAATCAAGGTAGGGGTGTCAAATAGACCGAGGTTAACAGAGAGGATCCAAGTAGCATTTTCAAGAAAAATGAGTCTTGAGTGATTTTAAGCTCAACAAGTACATTGAATTCTCCTGCCAAAAAATCAAATTCAACAAATAATTGTTCTAGCACTCCAAAAAACATGGATACAAAATTCAATTGTCTCATCAAGTGTTACGTATGAAAATAATTTGTTTAAAAAAAAAAAAAAAAAAAAAAAAAAAAAAAAAAAAACTTTTCCCTGTTAAAACATAATTTCACTTCGTTTTCCCTTGTAGAATTATTTTGTCTGCTGAGAAATTAAATCGCATTAATAAGTTTTACTATTTCAAGTTTGGACTCTCAGTTCTTTTTTACTAGGTTCATTTCTAAAGAAAGTTCTGCAGGTTTATGTGCGTTAGGTCCGCTATTCTTTCAGCTTTTCAAAAAACTAAAGAGTTTTTTTTTTTTTTTTTTTTTTTTTTTTTTAAATCCATTTTGTATTAACTGAACGATGATTTTTCGGTGAACACCAAAAGATGTGAGTCTTGGCCACTAACCCAATGTTGAGTTCTTAAGCACTAAGTAAGATCCCTTTTTTCGTGGATATTCATAATCACAGAGTGAGAGTCCATAAAAAAAAGGTGAGAAGGCAGAGTCGCCGGAGGTACTCTGGTACTATGGATTACTTCAGGTTACAACACTTCTTTCTTTAATCCTGGACACTTATCCTGATTGAGCTTTGACTTTAATAACTGATGTTTTTGGATGTTCAGGCATGGAGGTAAAACCATGCAATGGAGAACAGCCTCTTGTGGATCCCACCTCAGGGCATGAGCTTGATTGCGGAAGTGGTCCAAGAAGACAAGACTGCCCATCCGACAGCTACTGCCATCAAACGCCTTACTTCGCTCGCTGTTGTCGCAAAGGTGTGTTATTTACACTCGATCTCGAACCTAAGTAATTTAAATGCATCTAAAGTATAAAGTTTCTCTCAACAGTTTCTCATACAGTGTTTTCAAGTCGTAGGTTGATTGGAATTTGGAATGGAACGATACAAAAACCGTCCTGTGAGCAACTTTTGTAAATCCCGTGTCGTAAGATCAAAGTAGGGTCATAACGGATCATAAAGTCACGTGGGGCACGTATGACCACCTGACTTTGAGAGCTCTGTTATGATCGTATGATACGGGCTAAAAACAAATAAACACGATACAAGCATACCTTTGCCTACTTGCTTAAAGTGGAATTGATAGTAATTAATTTCAATTATTTTTAAAAGAAAATGCTCAAGAAGGGAAGTATGTGTTTGGTTCTTCAATTTCACTTGATGAATAGAATGTTTTTGAACGTATTAGGTACTACAGATAAACAAGACATTTATGACAAAGTTGGGTGTGAAATTAAAATATATCTATCAGCGGAAGAAAGTTTTATGGCTTTTTCTCGAAGGAGTTCTCAGAAAATCGTCAATTTTTACGATGATGTTAAACTTAATTGTGGATACTTATGAAGGAGACTATTATGTCAAACTTAACTCTTTTTCAGTTCCTCCACTATTTGGATTTAATCATTTTTTTCAGATGCCAAAATATTTTTGAAAAATTGCGCGGATTCCTGGTACGGCTGCTGTCCGGATAATAAAACTCCAGCGAGTGGTCCTGATAATGCCGGCTGCCCCTCCCTCTGCGGATGCAATAAACTAGGTGAGACCCGTCTTGATTTTCCGATATTTATAAGATTCTGGAAGTTAAAATATTTTCTCCGGCAACAACAGAACAATTGTTTTATTGCAAAAGCGTTTGTTACCGCATGCTCTCGTTGAATACATCCACCTTGCTATTTCGAGAATATTGTAAAATAAACGCGGTAATCACTGAGGAATAACCATCTCTTCTCGAGAAATAATCTTACAGGACAATGGACCACTAGGCAAGGTACGAATTACAGCATTCTGATACATGTCTCTATACCAAAATTTTACGTAAAACACGATGCGCACAACGAAAATTACCGAAATTAACTCCTTTCGAAGATATTTAACGATTCTTGGTGCGTGAATTGAAAGCACCCGCTCATGAAAACTCAATGCTCTACGTGATTCACATCGCGCGCTAGACGTTATCATGAGCGTCTCTGCGATAAAAAAATCTGGCAACCTCCATCTTGACACTTTGGCTCAGCCATAGCAAATTACTTATAGTTTTAAAAACACATGGTGGGAAATGAACATCGCTCGATTGAGAAGCTTGCTGAAACCGGTGTAGTGCGCGATTTGCCTCACGTAGAGCTTTGAGTTTCTTGTGAGCGAGCAGTTCAAATTCCTCGTAACCAATATGAAATAAAAATGTTAATATCTCCGTTAGGAGTTGGTTTCAGTAATTTTCGTTGCGCGAATCGTGTTCTACGTGAAATTCTGGTTTAGAAGCATGTATCAGAATGCTTAAATTCGCACCTTGTTTGTCTGGTGGTCCATTGTCGCTCCGCCGACGTAAGGGCGTATCTCGATCTTAACGTGACCCCTGTGCTTTGTATAATGCCATGCGTTCTGGGGCTCATAAGAAAATTAAGATACGCCCGCACGTCAGAGGAGCGACGCAACGAGCCCCCCGTCGATCTAATCTGAACTTTGTTGGACGTTTAATTTTATCATATGCGTCTCTTTTCCCCCAAATCCAAGAGAATTGCCTTTGAAGGGCCTCATCTTCAAAATTAATCATTAATTAATTGGAATTTAATATATCTTCTGTGTTACTAAAATAATCCTGGATTTTGGAGTCAAATTGTAGCAGCTTAATGTTGTGTTTCTTTTAATCCTGGATTTCGGAGTCAAATTTTAGCAGCTCGATGTTGTTTCTTTTTCGGAACTAACGCTCAAGATTCGCCTGAACCAATCATTTTATCAGCCTTCGATGTGTTGTGTTTGCTTTTAGGTTCCTACTCGGACAACTGTAAGAACGGAACAGAGCAGTGCCACTGCAGGCCCGGTGTGGGAGGGATCAAGTGCGATCGATGCGAACCTGGATTCTGGGGGCTCCCGAAAATATCCGACGGGCATCAGGGCTGCATGCGTAAGTCAAATCGTTCTATCCAATCATCCCCTCTTAACCACCAGATATTTTTTTTAAAATTTTGGTTTCAATGTGCTTTTCAGGACCCAAGCGTAATATTATCCAACGCACCTGATTCTCTCTCGTGAAAAATTTCGAGCATCCTACCTTTTCACGAGTGCGAGATACTTCCCAAGTAGCATTTTTCGAAAAATCGCAATATTCTGAAATTAGGTTGCAAATTTTTACCGATAAAATTGCTAGGATCGTCATCATCTGAGCGGTTTTCCTCCATCTTGTCGCAACTTTATATCCATAAAATCGAAATTGTACGTCAATTCGTCACGATTTTTTGTTCAATAATATTGCAATAAAGAAACAGCGATAAAATCGCGGTACATTCTCCGATCAAATTCCAACTTATCGCGATTACTGCCACTTGGGTTGTGACAGGATTGTGAAAGTGTATGTGCCTGAATTTTTTGGGAGCATTCCTTGCAAGTATTGCAGGATGTCTACAAAACGAAAGCGAGACAAAGGCGCTGGAAGAGCGCGGATTTATTTATGGAACAAAAAAGGTACAGATGCCGCGTTAAAAGGACACGGATTTTCGGGATATTCGTGATGAACCCAAAAAAGAGCCCACAGAGATTGCAGCTCCTATATCGCACAGTACATCGCATCCCGTTCCTGCAAAACCTCAGTTCGTTTCTGCATGTTTCAATTCTCAGTTCATGCTTCTAACAATCCTACATTCCATTCTCAGTACATGCTTCTAAAAATCATGCTTTTCATTCTCAGTATCCAAGTTTAGCATTTGAAAAATGAGGAAAAGATAATGCGAGGAACTAGGGTTTTAGAAGAACTTATAAAGTTAAATTTTCCCGAAACCGCTGGAAATTCGCATACGTGCCGCGATATTTCAGAGATTTTTGCGTAATTTCTGATTTCTGTTCTAAATCGCTGGACAAATATTGCGAAGTTCCTGCGATACTGAAATAGGAAGCGTGTATAATTGCTTAGGATTAACGAATCCTCCAGAAATATCGCGTACATTTGGCGAAATTGAGATGAAATTCGCCTGAGCTCACGCGTTTTAACAGGTGGAAATGAAGCGAGCAACCATTCAAACTTCGGAGTTGGTAAGTGGTATCACGCGAAATTAAAGGGAAAGTTTTATGTTTTCACCTATCTCAAATTACTGACGCTTCTGAACATTCTGCCCGTATCGATATGAACATCGCGTATTTTCCGCTGTATTGAGGTGAACATTGTGTGACATTTTATATTTCTAAGCAACCGCGGAAAATATGCGTATTTCTCCAATTTGGGGTGAATAACGCTTGATTTTTAATGATCAACAATTTGAAAGGGGCAAAAAGGAAGGAGAGGTAAATGGAATAACATAGCTTTTTGATAATGAGGGACCTAACAGCAGGTGCTGTACGGTATTGATCGAGCTTACACATTTTTTGAACGTTCAAATTGCACTTGGGATCATCATGAGTCAAAACGTATGCAAGAAACTCTCCTCTTGGAAATGGTTGTACAATGCGAGCTCAATGAAAGCGTCGTCCTTTCAAACTTTGCACCATGTATTTCAAATCTATCGACGAAGGACTCAAGAAGTTGGTATTTTTTCACTTAGCTTGCGGTTGCTCCGTTTTTGGATCGGTGAGAGAAGACTGCGAACAGATGTCCGGTCGCTGCGTCTGCAAACCTGGAGTGCAGGGACCCAAATGCAATCAATGTGCGGATCCAACTAAAGTCTTGGGACCCAATGGATGCGCGCTCCGTGAGTTGGCTTTTACTACATTGAAAAAAGTATTTTTTTTTAAATGTAAATGTAAAACTTTATTGTGCTCCTTTTTTTACAATTTAACAACATTTTTTTAAGATTCTTAAAATAAGTTGTGAACAAAGAAAAAAGAAAAGTAACATAATAAAACCACCCACTAAGGTTGGACCTTGTGTCGGGAATAAAGAGAAAGATCGGAAAGACGGGATTCGCAGAATTTTCAAGGGTATTTTAGGATTTTTCAATGATACTTTGGAGTGAATGAAGTTACTCGCGGGTTTGTAGGAAATGAAGGCATGATTGAAGGCTTAATTTTGATACTTTTTGATGCTAGAGGAACTTTCAAGTTTTTGTGAGGCATTCAGGGACATCGATTTCTCCGAGGAATTTGGGGGACTTCGAGATTTTTTTACTTTCAACCATTGTTTTACGGTCCGACATTCTGTAAGGAATTTTGAGATTTTGAAAAGCGTTCTTAACCTTTGAAACGGTTAAGGGCTTTTGTGGGGAACTTAAGAATTTTCAGGAATCTAAATCTTAATCTTAAAATCCATGTATTTAATCGATAGATCTATAAAATCCTCATACTTTCTTAGCAACAGCGTAGTAGTTCTATGAAATTTTGCACTAATATAAGCAGGAAACTTTCAGTCGCCAGAAATAGTTCTCGTGTTTACTCAGTTTCTAAACCCGTTTTTTCTATAGCTGACGCTCTCGGACAAATACCCGCCACGTGTGCAGAGATGCACTGCTATTTCGAGTCAATTTGTGAGGAAAGAAATGGTCTCCCGAAATGTTTGTGCAACATGACGTGCCCTGAGGAATCCAACTCAAATCAGGTAAGCACTCATTTAATAAGTCAAAAAATAGTCCTCAAGAATTTCCGTTTCTTTACGTGCAATTGAGAAAAAAGCTCCACGAAAGTCAATCGTAATTTAGGTTTTGTCAACCGAATAATCTAGTTTCGTGACATAATAGTTTTCCCGCTGAGTTCAGAGTTCCTTAAAGAAACATTCAACTGTTTCTATGCTTAATTTTTATGTTTTAAAAGTTGTTCCTACTTTTTTTTCTTCTTTTTCTCGTTCTTCATACTTATGTTAGCTTTGAACGTAACATCTGGTTAAGAATACCGTGGAGCCGAAAGTTAGCATATTTTTCCCTCCTTGTGAAATTAAGTGTTTGTGTTGAAATGTACGTGTTGAATGATTCAGATGTGTTGAATCAATGAAATGTGTTGAATTTTAGGTTGTTTGCGGCAACGACGGTCAAACCTACGCCTCCGAGTGTCAATTGAAGTTGTACGCTTGCAGGTACCAAAAGGACATATCGGTTCAGTATCTGAGTGCTTGCAAAGGTAATTATGATTCACGTTTTTTATTTATCTACACTCACTTGTTCGTTTTTTGTTTGCCTCATGCACCTTCATGTTCATTGTTCTCACATTTTTTCCATTATAACGACCTACCAGAGGCGAGGTCAAGGCACCTCTGAACTCGAAGCCGAAGTTGTAATGAAAATCTAAAAAGCATTTCGATCTTTTTCGGCGGTTTCCTCCTGTGAGTCTTTCTTAGATCACAAAGTAATCATAGGAATCATCGTAATTTGTTCTGAAAACCGCACTGGCTGAGAGAATAGTGTCTGTGGGCTCGGAAAATTTGAAAAAAAAGTTCCATCGATTACGCAGATTGTGCATTCGGGAGAGAATTTCAGACACTGCAGATTTTCTAAATGTAATATTCTGGGAGTACGTTTCCACTAGAGTGCAAAATGTGCCATATCTCCAGTGTCTGTACAACTTATCCGCCATGATCCAATCCAATGGAACGGCCGATTGCTTCCTTTCCGTGGTTAATTAAATGAATATTGTCATCGATTGCTTCGCCTCTGTGTGGTACTTGACGTTTACGTGTCATAATTATGATCATCGTAAAAAGAACGATCGCACTGCTTATTCATAGGAAACTCATTTTGTACATGCAAATGTGATCCTTGACCTTTTACCATCGAGTTGCGATCAATTTTCAAATTCATTCAGTCATCCAAAAGTTTTGATGGTAGCATTTCAGCTGTCATTACGACGTGTAAAATATGCTTATGGCCGAGCAACATAATTATTGAAAAGCTTTGAGCCTACTCTAAAATTGAAACTAAACTTTTAAAGAAGATTAGAACAATAAATCTAATGGACTGATTTTGGAACTAACGAATAGTAGACTGTTCGAAAAAGACTTAACGTTTGAACACATATTATTATTTTTGGCCAATTAATATGATTTGCCCATCAAAAATACGATCATATGGCCAGTGTAACCGAACCATTTGATTCGAATTGAATTATACTCAAGTTTCGATAAAAATCCTGGGCTCTCATTGAATGTTGTCATCTTTCAGAACTTCGTCGAAATTTTTATTCGAAGACTATATGTACAAAAAAGTCGGAATCATCAAGTGAACTATTTATGTTCAGCTGAGTGTAAACTGAGTACGATTCTAACATTTTATATAAGCGTTGTGACAATTTTCAATTTCTTTTTGCGATGATAATGACTACTGTCACGTATGTAATAATTTATCACACCTAAATGCACAAGAATGTTATTCAGATCCGTCGTTTATTTTTCGTGGTTTTCATTATGACAATCTGTTCGCTCCATATTGATAAGCACCATTTCTATCTGTGAGGAATTTGCTTTTCTGTCACGATCCGTTATATTTCCATGTTCCCAACACAATAAACTTACAGGTTCACTGTTTGTTTTTCCGTCGCTCCGCTTTTTTAATTTCGCTTTTCCATTGTTCAAACTTTCTCCACCATTATTCATTTTGTTTATTTCTGCAAAACTATAATATTTTCGACTCTGGCGGCAATATTGACTTAAAATATTCAAGCGCTAATTTTGATACATCCCCAATTAATTAGCAGCATGATGAACAGATCACTGCTCGGAAGGTGGTATCGAAAGGCTGGATTTCATTGATTAATGGGAACAATTAAAAAAGAGTAAATGAACTTAAAATAAATGTTGCTTGATAGCCTGCAGACGGTGATGAAAAATTGAAAATTCAAAAGATTTCCATGATAAATGTGCGGATAGTTTACGTGTAGGAGAGAGAACTGAAATTTGAAGGACACTATTTCTATTTAGAAACAGAATTCACGGCATGAAAAGGTAGATTTACCATAAGATATCTCAATTTCAACCTTGGCGCAATTTTTTTTTTTCAAATTTTAAGATGATTTTATTATTTACACAAATAATTTTTTACTCTTGAATTTTAGCGCTCAAGTTACGCCTTTACTCCTATGTTAAATGAGATGTAGATTTCCGTTCTATGCTCTGCTTGTAGTCAATCTACCAAATCTCACCGCCTCATTTCACCACGTATCTTTAAGCAGATCTGATTAAATAAAATTAGCCATGGAAAAAAACAAGTGTTCAATTTCACAGGCATTTGTGTTTCTGAAAAAGTTCCAAGAATTTAACCCTATTAGTCCAATTACACGCTCTGTATTTCTTCATGAACCGGCTCCAAGTAGTCTCAGAATTAGCTTAGTTCCATCACCTGTTGTACTCAGCTTTCTTTGGTGTTGTTTTTGAAAATACGCAGATGAAGTCCTAACCGGGACTGATTGGCCCGTAAAGTTAGGAGGCTGGACCTCAGCTCAGCACTTCACAGACTCAGAGGCACTTAGTTCTCCTCTTTCTAAGTCCACCCGACACTTATTGCCCGAGCACCGATATTATTACACAAATAAAGATAGCATACCCGAGGACGATATCAGTGGGTTCGTCTCTGCAGGGGGTCCCACTAAAGGTAATTCTTAATTATCTCTCTTTTCAATTTGCTTTAGTTGCAATTTTTTTACCCTCTCTCTATAGTACCTTTATCGAATGGGTTTCGAAATTTAACCAAATGGATTCTTTTGAGGCCCCAAAAATGGCGACTAATTTCCATACCGAACAAAAGCTCAGCTCTATTTAATGAAGCAATTATTTGGTTCGTAAAACAGTAGTTTATTTTTCCGTCTAAAAGGGGACTGTTGCCAACTCTTGACAGTAACTACCTGCTCTATTTGTTGCTGTTTCCACAATTCAAGCGTTGGAAAGAAATATCTCGAGTAGAATGCAATACATTCGTTTTTTAAAGGGAAAATTCTCTGTGTTACATTATTTATTGAAAATCATGAAGCTATAAGACATGAAAGGAAAAATGGGAAAAGTCATTTCATTATGTCTTTGCTTTGAACGTTCGCCATTTTTGGGCTCCTGAAAATTCAATTAACTCACAAATTAATTAAACTTGCGTGAGAAATGCATTCCCAATTGGTCACTCTCCCTCTGTAAAGGTACTTAACTTTTATTTTTTCTATCGGTTATCTTAATTTTATTTTGTGTTTTTCTTCTCTTGCTAAATTTTTATTTTATTTTTTTCCAACATTCTGTTTATTTTTTATAATGTTTTATTCTACCCATTCATTTCCTCTTTCCCTTAGAAGTCCCCATTTCCTTTCTTTTGCATGTTTATTTCTTTCTGACATCTTTTATTTGTCTCTTGTCAACCTACTTCTTCCCTCTCTCTCCTTTAGTTCATCGAGGTTTATCTTATTTTATTTTCTTGCACAATGTAGTTTTACGTGAAGTGCATTAGATTTTCCCCGTACCATGTTGTTAGCGCCGCTTCTTGTAGGAAAGTACTTGAAATAAACATTCATCTCGCTTCTCGGTCGACCATTTTTCAGTCGAATTTTTAAACTTCTATAAACATATTTCCAAAAAATCATCTAGGGAATCTGGTACAAATTATTTATCTGTATTCGCCTCAGAGATAGCCATGTTAATGTGGATTTTCCGAGGGAAATACCCTATTGCGTTTTCAACATTAAAAATCTGGTTAGTTGAATATTAATGCATTGCATTATTTTAGAAAAGAATATCTTTCCTAAGGTATCCGTAGTTTTCATTAAAAAAGAAGTCTTACACTTTCGTAGGTCTAAATGTTAAATATTGTCATTTCTAGTCACACAAGGCGTCATTTTCAATTTATTTGGTAAAGTCATCGCTGGCCTAAGTGTGGAATCACGTTTCTCCATCCCAGTTTTTCAAAAGCTCCACTAATTTTTCATTTTTCGAAGAAAAACAAGCCAACTTTACACCTCGAAATTGACGCAAAACTTCCCTTTAGCAATGAAGAAAAATCAAGGAAGTTGTAGAGAAATTACGTCGCCTAGTTTTTCAAAAAAAGAAATGAAGTATAACAGAAAGTCTACACTAGGTTGCAAACGGAAATACGTGGTTTCAGACTTTGGCTATCGATATTATTCTTTTAGCGAATTATTTTTAATTGTTGCGCGTGAATCTTCGAAAAATGCGCCTTTTTTCCATGAGTGTCTTGCGTTAAATTTTGAATTAATATGTTAGTAAAAAATCTTCCTTAAACAATTCATCTTGCCATTCGCTTACTGTTGAATTCTTCTTTTTTGAATCCAAACATCGAGTTTAAAGTAAGTATGCGATGAAGGTATTAAAAAAAAAACTTTATTTCCATGCCCTGTGTCACAAGGTTTTCCGGGGCAATTTTTTAAAAGAACCGCTTGAGTCAAATTCATTTTTATGATCCATTGGGTCACACCTGGTCGAAGAAGAGTCTTTTGAGCATGCCACGCTTTTTCTGTGCTTATTTTGATATGCGCGTTTTTCAATTTATTTAAGTCCCATAAGTGTTTGCATGACAGTTTTAAGTTAAACGTCAACATCAGCTCTTGAACGAATCCACATTTGATGCCATAACAAAGTTGTGAAAGTCTGAAAACTCATATCTCGATTATATCGTTTCAAAATGTCTACTTTTGCTCTTTTTTTTTCAAGATAAACTACTGAGCATTATTCTTTGAAATTTCCTCTGAATTTCTTGTGTAGCATGAAGAATAAATCGTAAAATTCTGAAAGATAAAGATCATTCGTTTTCTTTTTAAATACGTCAAAAATCGAGTTGCGTGCTTTTCAAATTTCACCACCTACCCGGCTTACATTTCTAAAATGAGAAATTGCAGCCAGAAACTTTTTACTTGCATGGATGGTATAGAATGTTCTGTTTTCACCTAAACTTTTACAAGATTAATTCTGAGGGCCTCGAAATTACTCTCCGTAATTTTCCCCATTAGAGGAAATTCTTCATCATTTCAGGGAGGCTATAGAGTGGAACTAAACAGCATCACATCTTCCAGGTGGCTGACCGAGAATTTCGTTATAAGCCTCTCGAAAAGAGAAGAGAAGAGTAACAACTTTGTCATCTACATTTTGAATTGTTTTTCAAATTTGCCAAAGCATGTTTACATGAAAATGCAGCTTTGAATTGCCGATGAACGTTTTTAGGCAGATGATATAATGCCCTGTTAACGTCTTGTTACTTGCTTTTTCTGCCGATTTTTTCTATCAATTTGTTCACCTGCAACATCAGTTTTAATTTTTCATAATCCTAATGGCTCGGTGCAATTCCACGGTATATGTCCGTAACCACGTATCTCGTTCGAAAATCTCCGCCTCTGGATTATTTTTTTGAAAGAGCACACAAATTGACATCATTCCTTGAAGTTTTTACGAGTTATTCTTCGCACAGAGAAGAGAAATCACGGCAGTTTTGAAGAATTGCCGTTGAGTAGTTTTTCATTTACAAAATAAAACATGATAGGAGGCTTGTGACGTCGCAAACCAAGATACATGGTTGCGGACTTACACCGTCGAATTGTATTAATTAGCTTAAGCCTCTTTTGTTAAAATCACGAGGTGTTACCTCGGAGCTGATTTCAAGTCTACCCAGCGAAGGCAAAACACTGTGCCTATAAGTAAGGCTTTCCAATAATTAAAATGTATATCATTATACCTCTTTCTTGCTGGAAATTATCGAATCTTATATCTATTGAATTCTGTTTGATGTTTCACCTAAAAGAGAAAAATAAGAGAATCTTTTCATCCCAGACTTCTGAATAAGATCATGACTTTTACAACTAACCTTTTTACTTTAAGCTTAAGCTGTCCTTCCGTAAATGAAGCAGGTGAGTGAAAATAATTTGGAAACATTGAGAAATCGGCGACTTAGGAAAGAGTTTGTTGAAAAATAGAAAAACTAAAGAAATTGAGTTCGCAAACTCCAAGTTCAACTTTTCGACACCGATTTAAATTTTTAATGAGCCATAACATGAGCTATTTCGTAAATTTAATCTGAAAACTTGTTTTTTTTAAATCACAATTTTTACAATAAAAAATTTCTCTCACCCTCTCCATTCGCCGGGGACTTAAATTACTGTGCAACGGTACTATATATTATCCTGCAAGCTGAATCTATGGTTGGCTCTTAAACAGCCCCTTTCTTTAAGCGGTCCAATATGATTTACATCGTGATCAAGGGAGGTCAAATGAGATCAATAACTTGTGCATGAAGTAAAATTCTATTTGAAACAAGATCAGGTGAACACAACAGAATAACTTCAAAAATAGACCCTTGCAAGGGATCACAATGATTTGCCTCCTACAAAAATCAATAGTACAAAAGAGGTTTTTTTCACGTTTTGAAAATTCTAAGGTAGGTCCGTAAACCCTCTTTAAAGTTCGTCAAAATCGCAGAATTTTTCCTTCCGTGTTTTCCATTTCTTTCAGTGGCAAACCACTGCTATACCTTACACTGGTCCGTTTCCGAAGTTATTATGATTAGTGTTACTCAAGATCAGTGGTGTGGCGTAATTTGCAATATTTCGATTTATTTGTCATTTAAACCTATGGAGAAATATCGATAAACAGGGTGTCCGCAACGACACCTCAATATTGATTCTTTACCCTGCTTCAAATGGAGAGATATCAATAATTGATCATGCACACCTCGCCACTGTTATAGAGATTCGCAAAAATGGTCCGTTTTAGGACGTCATGATCTCCTAATACCTCCCTTATTCACAATGTATGCCATACGAGATCTTCCAAAGGGGAAAAAACACTAAGAAGTGGCCCGAGCTGTATGTAACAAGGAGGAGAAATGGTGCTGGGTCCACACCTTTTCGCGGGTAGAACAAAGCCAAGAAGTTCCAAAAATTATAATTAGAGTCAAAATTAATTTTTGTTGTTTTTTTTTGTTAAGTCTAATGCGCACCAGTATGAAACTGATCTTCCAAAGGTTCAAAGGCCATGAGCTGTTTAGGAGGCGATTATGAACACGGCCTTATGAATTTTAGAATATTACTGACGTCTTTCTTGCACCCACAGATCTGTTCAGCGAGGAGGGAAAAGACTCAACGCCGGCCATCGTGGAGGTGATGCATTCTTCTTTAGGCGAGATGTGCTCCTCGGATGAAGACTGCAGGGTGTCCCATAGCCACTGCCTCTCCGGACTCTGCGTCTGTCTCGAGAATTACGTCCAAACACAAGATCGACAAGCCTGCTACCGTAAGTTGACGTCTTTTCATTCTCTATTAGTAGCGTAAGGTGTTTTGCGATGTATAGCTATAGATTGATCTGCTATTTATATTTATGGAAAAATATCGTCATAACGAGCACCTTAATAATGATTCTTTACCATAGCTTCAAATGGGGAAATATCGATAATCGATCGTTGATACCTCGCCACTGTTTTCCATCATAGATCATAGACACGTATTAAGCCGCTAGACGAGGTACCGAGTGGACACTACCTTACATGTTTTCTCTTTGCAAAAATATATAAAGTTGTGGGCTTGCGATGATTTCAGAGCTTTTCAAACTTGAAAGAATAAGAAACACAAAGAAATCATGAACCAAAGAAAGAAATAAGTATTTGTTGTTAAGTTACAGGAAAAATACTCATACAGTTACGGGCTAACTCGAGAGGAGTGCAGTAAGCTCCTACCCTGTGGAGGAAGGGAAAGGTTCTATGTCAATGGACCTCTCTAGAGGTATTGACAAGGTAAAAAATAATTATCTCAACGATTTTGAGGATTTGAGAACCCACGCGACTTGTATTTTGAGCCACAATTGTAAAATTTCCTGTGGATAAAAGGGAACTGTGCTAAGCCTATGGCCTCATTTGGCTTAAAAATATGTATAAAACTTTGTCCAAGCAATGGAGAATTTGCACGCAATTTTTTTATTGCTTCATCTGAAAGTGCCTAATGAGCTGAGTTCGCAATATTTTTCATAATTTTTTTCTGACATGGGAAATTGGAGAAAAATTGATTTAAAAGTGAGAAAATGTGCCGCCTTGTGACGTCATCTGGCGGCATTTCCCATTTAAACACATGTATTTTAGCGGAATCGGTTATTTTGTCATATCTCCTCTAATAATTGCTCAATTTATGAATCAAGGGTATCTTCGTGTTCAGTTCACTCAGAGGATTCCACTTAAACAGGAAATTCATCAAATTTCAGACCCTTGCAAATTCTCCATTATATCGATATTAATCTCAATGAGCTGTAATTGTGTCGAAAGGAACAGTACGAAAATGAATAAAAGAAAAAAACTCGAGAAGCACGCAATCTTTGGTTTTAGCCCATTTGTACACCGATCTTATAGTAAAATACGTCCGTGGTGTTTGGTTGCGCACACACCACCTTGCAGCACAATAAAGACACAAAATACAAGATAAAATAATATAATCCTTTGGATATCATTATATTTGACACGGAACCGCCTTAATATCTACAAGACACACAGTGTATTTTCCTTTGATACTTTTTTTTTTTTTTTTTTTTTTTTTTTTTTTTTTTTTTTTTTTTTTTTTCCTCATGAATTTAAATATGAATAATCCATGCAGAGTGTGCAAACATTTCAAAATCATGGGTTGAAAAACGCTGACTCCGCGTGTTTTAATATTAGAGCCAAACATACAGCGGAGCAGCCGCGGCGCGGCGTGCTGCCAGCGCGATGCAATGCGTGAAGTATCCCCGTTAGGTTTGTAGGCGCCAATGCGCGTATCGTGCAATGCGTGAAGTATCCCTGTTAGGTTTGTAGGCGCCAATGCGCGTATCGTGCAATGCGTGAAGTATCCCTGTTAGGTTTGTAGGCGCCAATGCGCGTATCGTGCTGCGCCGCGCCGTTGCGTCACGAGGGTGGAGCGATAGGAGCGACAGAACCAGGTGTCGTATAGCCGAAGGCCTAAAAAGGACGCGTTCCTCCTCTACTACAAAATGAACTTTGGAATCCAGCTCTACTATTTGTGACAACCATGTCTACTTTTTCTCAAACTCCGTGGCTTACCGCAATGTGGAGCGACGCGTTGTGCCGAACAGAGAGTTTTCCTCATGTGCCAAAACTTCTCGCGACGGCAATACACATCCATAAATGATCGAGCTCCACTTGGTTCAGATGTTCGACTTTTCAGAGATTTTGGAAGCAGCC